TGTCATATTTGAAACACCGGTAAAAAGAGACATCAATTAGGGTAATAAAATTAGAAAGGGGTAGGATATGATTTCCAAAAGCATGGCGTCCACACAACTGCTCATAGCGTCTAAACACGGCTATTCTTATTTAGTAGGAGGTAAATGGGGTGTTGCCAGATATACAGTCCTTTTTGGATTAATTCATTGAAGAGATCGCATTGCCTCTTGAAACAGAACCGGCTTCAGAGTTTTGTGCGCCCTAAGGAAAATTATGAAATATGCGCCCTCCCCATACATTGATTGAGAACAAGCGGGTCACTTACGAAGTTGGCTTCTCGAGGGAGGGAGCGGGGCGTCCTGTTGCTGAGTGAACATTTGCACGACTGCACCAGTGCTTCCAGCTCGGATACATCAGCGTCTTTCTGAAGAGCTTGGAGGCGTAGCTGGTTCCCCTACTTGAATGTGAAATTTACGCCACTCATGACACTGTGCCTTGAGGCCTCACTTGCTGACTATGATGTTTGTCAATTTCGAATGTCTTTTAGATGTAACCACCAAAAACCGTGAAGAGAGCTGAACTCCATTCAGCTTAGTAGAAATGTAGCGCTTTATAAATATTTCTTGGCATCTTGGCAACGCCTCGAAACATGCAGAGTCATCAATGAGCAAATCGTCATGCCAAGGATGGCTGTTTTTATTTGTAAACCAGTGGCCCCCTTCACTTAGTATGCATGCTTCCGCCCTCTTTCTCATGGAATTGCGCACCCGTCGAAATATCCCTGGAGTGTGATTTATTCTATCACAAGCTGCAACTATTGTTTTTCTTAATTCCTCTACAGTGTTAATGGGTCTTGTACACACTAATGTCTTAAGATAGCCCCACAAAAAGAAATCTAAGCGGTTAAGGTCTGGGGACTTTGGTGGCCAATCGAACGATTTGGATAAACAGTTTGTAAATAATTACGAACCGCTACACTTAAATGCGCTGGTGCACCATCATGGATGTATCACATATTGTTTCATATTACTAACGGAACATGATCAAGCAGCAAAGGCAACTGTTGTTGAAGAACATTGAAGTAAGTCTGTCCGTCAAGTCGTCCCGGCAAGAAGAATGGGCCAATAAAGTGATTGCCAATAATTCCTGCCCATACGTTAACCGAAAATTGGTGTTGGAAATGGGTTTCGGTTACGGCGTAGGGATTTTCTTCTGCCCACAAATGATTATTGTGGAAATTCTGAATGGCATTTTGAGAAAAATTAGCTTCGTCCGTGAACAGAATCATTGATTCAAATTCCGGATTTTGTGTAATTTTTTGAAGATACCACTGACAAAAGGTCACACGCCTTGGAAAATCAATGGGAAGTAATGCTTGTATACTTAAAATATGGTAAGGATATAACAAAAAATCCACTAAAATTCTCCAAACAATTTGATGGCAAATATTTAAGTGTCTAGAGATCTTCCTCGTACTCGTTTCAGGATGTTCTTCGACTTCGTGCAGCACTGCTTCCTCAATTTCAGGTGTTCTCACACTTAGAGTCTACCGCCAGATGTTCCTTTTCGGGCTTAACCAGTTTCAACTCGACGATGAATAAAAGGTTCGACTATCTGGCAAAGCACGATCGGGATATCTCTGGTAATAAATTCGTCTGACTTGCTCACCATTACCGTCGGCAAGGCCATATACGTAATGTATTCCCGCCATTTCTGCATTTGAATAATTCACCATTATTAACAAGATTGTAAAAACTAAATAATGAAAAAGATGTCACAGCGAACAGATTTGAATAACAGAGACTTGTCAGATGTCACAAGCCGGTGACATATTCCAGAGCAACTAGATATTTATTGCTAAATTGCATTCTTCAATTATTACAACAATTTTCTCAGACAATAGAACGGTTTTTATTTTTTTACTCAAAAATGGCGTATCGAAGGAAAACAATTCAAGAGAGATCATTTGTTTTAAATTGAATGGGAAATTGAAAAATAATTTTATATACCCGTACGCACGCCACTGTTAAAGGTAAAAATCATGTTTGCATTGAAAGATATGCAGCTTTATTAACTTTCACTACGTACTAAATATCAGTGAAATATCTGAAGCGGTTCTGAAAATATTAATTAATTTCCCTTTTTTTCCTAAAACTTCAACTCTGCCTAGGCCATGGATCAATATACATGTAACAGCTGTACACGGTTGACCCTCTGTTGATCGGACTGACGAAAGCAGTATCATTACTGACTGATGAGTTTTTCAGCTACACCATGATACCAAATATAGTTTGCCCGTCCAGCGAAAAAGCAGCATCGACAACAAATTGAAAATGACAGCCAGGTTTTCCTCACACATTTCACCCGTCGTGCCACGGCTTTTTGCGACAGGAGCGACTGAAAAATTATTTTCAATAAAAGCGTCACGAACAAGCGCTCCACAGCTCGGAAATACTTCTTTCTCGGATTAGGTACACGTCACTGACGTTTAACTTGGGGTGTTTGAAGACAGGATCCTTTTTATCCGCTCGATCCTATTTTGTCTTGTCGTTCTTTTCGCCGGTAACATGGAGAAGATGAGATCCTTCTCGCACTCCAACGGAACTTACACGGTGGTCATACTGAAATTCACAGATGGCGGCTCTGAAGCGCTCTAGCTAATCTTTTGAAGATGTTCCAATGATAATCAAGGTAAGCATTTTTTTTTTGTGATGGGGGAATGCGTTTACGCACCATACCATAGCCCGAGCTACGGCGTGTGTGGGACTCCAGGTTGTCTTGAGGAGACCCACTAAACCCTAAACCTCCGCGTGGCCCGACTCATCAGCGGTCTGCTACAACGTCTCCTCATGTGTTTCAGTCTCTGGGAACGCCGGGGGTTCCCTTTACCTCGCACATTCTATCGATGTCGTTAAGCGATCATCGATAGAGGGTCTGCTAGGTTCCCTTGAAACTCTTGTTTTCGAAAAATCAAGAGTTTCAAGTCCTCTTACCAATATGTTGTTCCTGATCCTGGTCCTGAAGGATCCTGGTCCTGAAGGGTCCTGGTCCTGGTGGGTCCTGGTCGTGGCGGGTCCTGGTCCTGGTGGGTCCTGGTCCCGGTGGGTCCTGGTCCCGGTGGTTCCTGGTCCTCTGCATCCACGCCGTGGGGGGGGGGGGGTTAGCAACCGCTGGTTCTCCTATTCTCCTAGTCAAGGTTCTAGTTAGCGGGTGCCAACTGGGACCTTGGTCTAGGGTACCTGGTTCTGCGGTTGCGAGGCCTCTCGTCCGGATCGTAGTCCATGAGGAATCGTAGCTGCTCGTTCGGGTGGTCCTGAGCTTTCTCGAACGTCTTCTCCGCTTTTTTCCTCATGTACTCGTAGATGGTGTCCCAATGCAGGTCTCTACGCAAGGTTGAGTTTCTTACGTAGGATGGTGCACTGGTGGCGAACCGGAGTAGCTTCATCTCTAGAGCAGCAAGTCGCTTGCGGTAGCTGGGGGCACAAGATTAAAATTTTTTGATATACCTACACCAAAACCACCTAGATCGCGTAGATTCTTACTGTAGATATTCGAAAACATTATCATGCAAGAAATAACCAAAGCCTGTCGAATGTATCTGACAAGAAAAATAAAAAAAAGTTAAAACAAATATTATTGATGGACTATAGCTATTACCTATTAACTTTGTTCAGAAAAAATTTAAAAGATACCAAATGCACCTAAATCATGTCGCCTCTGCCGGTGAATCACGATATTCTGAGAGCCCACCCCCGACTGTGCGTTCCATTGTCTTGCAAAAACTAACCAAAGCAGCCTGTCAAACGGATCTGCCAGGAAGAATAAACACAAAAGTCTCTTTGTTTTCTCTCCCGCCTGTGCCGTTTTTTCCATCCATCGTCCTGCAACATCGCAATCGAATTTCGTCGTGAATGGCTGGCTGATTTGAAAGCAGCAGAAGGTTTCCGGCAATCCGTTCATCCCTCCTTTTCATATTCAAATCAGATGTTTACAGCGACCGAGTCACAGGAATTGTCTTAAAAACACCGACGGAGTTTCCGTCGTAACGCGCGCTGGTAAAAGCAGGAACGAAGCTTCAAGTGATACATAAAGATGATGCTGACCTTCCAGGTATTCCAGATTCTGGAAAAACACACATTCTACGTTCTAATGTTGGTCGAACTTTACTTTACTGGTGGAATGATATTTTTATATCACCAAGGACTGTATGGGCACAAGATGTGATTCAAGTAGTCTCGTCAGATGGATTGATGGTACTATTATACACTTTGCATCGGTGTATTTCTAGATTTAAAGAATGTGTTTGACACAGTTGATCATTCTCCATTACTTTATCTCATGTGATGCATAAGGATCAAAGAGACAGCATACAAGCTGTTTAGCAGTTACCTACAGAACAAGGAACAATGCGTCAGTATTCATGGTTTATAATAGTTTTATATTTTAAATTTTATATCTTGAAACTTTTTAGCTGACTGTTTCATGGAGTATGAATGGAAAACAATATATGTATTATCATTTTTTTGCCAAGAAAGGCATTTTTGGTGCATTTTTTCTACTATTGTAACCAACAGATAATAACACAGATCTGAAATCATTCAAATATATTCCACTTTTATAGTAGACTCGAGCTAGTCATTACTTCTTTCTTATCATTTTTTATCTTCAAAGAATATTTGTTTCTCTTGAAACCTCAGTATGCTACAAAATAGGTTTTCAAAAAGATCAAAGATTGTTTGAAGAAATAAAAATGATGTGTCGAAAAGTAATTACTTGCTCTAATTTTAAAATTAACAATTTTAGAGCTGTACTATTATTTGTTAACAAGTTACGATTGCAGAAAAAAATCTCCAAAAATGCATTTTTCTACAAAAAAAATTATATACACGTGAGACTTTCGCTGAATCGCTACGCTACGCCAATGAAAATGCTTTGTTTACTTCTGGTGACCGTGAATATTCCGATGTGCTGCGATGTGTTTTTGTGGGCAAGGTGGTTAGTCATAGTCAGTCTTGTAACAGATGCTGGAGTGAATACATGTGATACAAGTTATGAAGTGTTTGATTTTCCCTAGGAAAATGATAATTTTCTCACATCAGAAGTGGGATTCAACTCGCTAAATGGACCACAGAAGAAATACATAGTGCAACCTGACTTATTTCGAGTGTGCGTGCGTGAGCAATTCATTGTCCTGAGCGTATATACCTAGCGAGCGTTACTTTTGGCAGTGATACTTGAGTGCTAAAAGTCTGTCGAAATGGAGGAATTAACCAGTGTTTTAACCGCAGTTCTTCGAGGAATTCAGCAGCCACCCCAACAAGCCGCAGCGGCGCCGGTGGTGCCAGCACCCTCTGCGCCAATTAACATTCAAGCTTTCGATCCCTCAAAAAGCGATGCGGGAGCGATGGGTTGGTGCGATGATATGGAGACCTTGGCGACCACGTTCAAGTGGACTGATTTTGAACAGCTTTGCAGAGCCGCGGGTGCCCTGGAAGGTGACGCAAAGGATTGGTATGACAACTGGCACCCATCAAATAAAGTTTGGGCTAGTTTGCGGGCCGAGCTTTGTCAGCTTTATCCTGCGAAGAGGAATCTTAGTGAGCGGTTACGTAAAGCTAGTATGTACAGAAGTGATCAAGCCACGGGATATTGTGAGTACGCAAGGAAAGAAATATCTTTGTTAAACTCTCTAGATTTTAATTTGAGTGATAGTCAAATAGTTGAGATAGTTATTGGTGATATACCACACACACATGTCAAAACAGCTGCTTTTAATAGTAGAGTTGATTCCATTTCGACCTTACTTAACTTGCTTAGCAACTATCAAATTAATAAACAAGACTCTCAGCTTCAAGTAGGGGCGCCAAAACGCCCGAATCCGTTTAAACATAATGATGAGGGAAAAATATGTTATTCCTGTAAAAAACCTGGTCATATCAGCCGGAATTGTTTTAAATCGCTTAAATTATTCAAATACGATAATACTAATAAGGCGAGAAGCTCAAATAATTCAAAATACAAAATTTGACCGTAAACTGTTTGATCGACACGGGTGCAGAATGTAGTTTGCTATCCGAAAAAGTCGCCCATAAATTACACTGTCATTTCGAACCAACTTTCATAATGTTAAAGGGTGTAGGAGGCAACTCAATACCAAGTTGTCAAAGGGCTACTAGTTGAGAGAGAGGGGACGGCATTTGAAATTAGTTTTTATGTTGTCGAAACTTCTGTTATGGAATTAGATGCAATTTTGGGTAGAGATTTATTTAATCATAAAGGAATCAGAATTTGCACTGACTCATGTGGGTCTAGAATTTATCTCGATGACACAAATAAAATAGAATCTAAAAAGATTCAAAACGTAACAATTTCTCCCGAGAAAATTCAAACACCACTGAATGGACATGATTTCGACGCCTTGTTGAAATTATTATCAAAATATAGCGATTCTATAACTATTGGTAATTCCGTGAGGGCGGTAACAACCGGTGAAATGGAAATCAAATTAAAAACCGATAAAATAATTTGTTATAACCCTTACCGAATGTCATTGTCCGAACGAGAAAAGGTAAAAGATATTATTGACGACCTCTTGCAAAACAATATCATACGTGAAAGCACGTCGCCTTTTGCTAGTCCAGTTATTCTGGTGTACAAAAAAGATGGCAGCCGACGTTTATGCGTAGACTATCGCACCCTTAATGGAATAACCATTAAAGATCGGTTTCCATTACCACGTATAGACGACCAAATTGATCAGCTGGGGGGAAGCAAGTATTTTACGACTCTCTATATGGCAGCGGGGTTTCATCAAATTCCTATGGCTGAAAACTCTATTTCCAAAACAGCTTTTGTCACGCCTGACGGGCATTTTGAATACCTGCGTTCACCATTTGGTCTATCGAATTCCCCTGCAGTATTTCAACGGGCGATTTGTAAAGCTCTGGGTAAGCTCAAAGATACCGATGCGCTGGTTTATATGGACGACGTAATCATTCCATCAAAAACCATCCAGACAGGTTTAGAAAAACTCGATCGGGTCCTAGCGTCCCTTACCTCAGCGGGCTTCAGCTTAAACATTAACAAATGCAAATTTTTTCAGAAAAAAATTGTTTATCTTGGTCGAGAAATTTCCGAAGATGGTGTAAAGCCCGACGAAGGAAAATTAAAAGCTTTATTCAATGCGCCCGATCCAAAAAATGTAAAACAGGTCCGCCAATTTATGGGCCTAGTCGGGTACTTTCGCAAGTAAATCCCTGATTTTTCAACGCGCACAGCTTGTATTACAAACCTAACAAAAAAAGGAGTCGATTTTGAGTGGGGAACCGAACAAGAAGTTGCCAAAAATTACGTTTGTGCCTTTCTGTCTCAACGACCTCTCCTAGCGATCTTTGACCCGACTTTAGACACGGAACTTCATACAGACGCGAGCTCTTTGGGGTTCGGGGCTATACTCTTCCAAAAAGTAGATAATAAACTTAAAGTCATCTCTTATTTTTCAAAACATGCTTCAAAGGAGGAAAGTAACTACCACTCATACGAGCTTGAGACTCTAGCCGTCTATTATGCAGTAAAACATTATCGCGTTTACTTATATGGAATCACATTTAAACTTATCACTGATTGCAACTCGCTAAAATTGACTCAAAAAAAAAAGACTTAGTGCCCAGAGTCGCGTGGTGGTGGCTCTACCTGCAATCGTTTAACTTTAATATCGAATATCGGAAGGGTAAATATATTCCACACGTCGATTATTTTAGCCGAAACCCACCTCAACCATTTGAAGAAATCGAATGCGTCGCCCCCGTGAATGTTCTTACAACTAATAACTGGCTTAAAATTAACCAAAAGCGCGATCCCGAAACTCGCGATATCAAATCAAAATTACTCGAAGGTCAACTAACCCTCGACTACTTCTGTCAAAACGAAGTTCTATTTCGAAAAATTAACCCGGGCCAAAACCCACCAATTTACAGGGCTTTCGTTCCAAAGGGAAGTAGACTCGGTTTGTTAAAAATTTTTCACGACGAACAGTCGCACGTTGGACCGGATAAGACCTTCGCAAAGCTAAACCATTATTTCTGGTTCCCGCGAATGGCACGTTTCGTCAAAAAGTATTCTGACCACTGCCTTAAATGTATTGTAAATAAAAAACACACTGGGCGCAAACAAGGACTATTACACCCCATCGAAAAGACCCCAATTCCATTTCACACAGTGCATTGCGACTGTGTAGGACCATTTCCTCTAACATCAGAGGGTTACAAACATGTTCTTCTTTTAATAGACGCATTCACGAAATATTTATTTCTAATTCCATTAAAAACCCTTTCTGGACCTGAGACTTGTAAAAACCTAAAAATTTATTTAAATATTTTTGGGAACACTAAACGATTGATAAGTGATAGGGGAACTAATTTTAGCGACCAACAAGTAAAAGAGTTACTCTCAAAATTAAACATTACCCAACATCTAATTGCCAAAAGTGCCCCACGCGGAAATGGGCAGGTAGAGCGATACGTCTCAACAGTTCTAGACCTGCTCAGAGTAAATGTCAGTAATAATAAGTCAGAATGGGCGAGCGTTCTCCCCAAGTTACAACTGACCCTTAATACTACTATCCAAAAAACTACGGGATTTTCCCCGCTCTATTTGTTAACAGGGCAACTTATGGATACCATGGACATTCAGAATTTAACAGAGAGTATAAAACCAGTGACGACTACTGATCAAAATTTAATTAATGATCGTAAAACTGCCTACGAACGCTCTCTGCGTTGCGGTTTAGAGTCAAAAGACAGATTTGATAAAAGCCGAAAAACAACTAACAGTTTTAAAGTAGGAGACATATGTAGTTTTCCATCCATCTGGAAATTCGCACCTAGCTAAACTAGACCCTAGATACGAAGGTCCATTCGAAATCTTACAGTTGTTGCCTAATGACCGAGTAGAAATTAAAAATTAGGCGACCAATCGCAAAAGAATTGTTGCTAATGATATGATGCGGGTATGGCCAGGTGAATTTGAATAAGATAACATTTAATAACCATTGTTATTTGTTTATCCCTTTTTGTACATTCTTTTGTTGGTATTATGAGAATGTTGTATGTTATATTTAGAGACATGAGTAATGATTATGATTTACGTTGTTGTTATTATAAAGTATTTGTTAGGCTATAACCGTGTGAGCCTTGATATTACAAAAACCTGACAAAATAAATTAGTGAAAAAAAAAAGTTTTGGGTTGAAAGACGTGCTCTTTGCATCAAGGTAATGAGACCTTGACTGCTGAAATGACGTGCTCTTTACCTTGCTGGATCATAAAATCTTGCTACTTGTTGAAAGACGTGCTCTTTACGACAAGGTCATTAGGACTTGATCGTTGAAATGACGTGCTCTTTGCAATGGTGAATGATGTATCGTTAAAAGCTGAAAGACGTGCTCTTTGCATTTAGATCGTGAGGGTCTAAACGTTGAAATGACGTGCTCTTTGCTAATTATATAGTCTAAATGGTATTCCTGTAACATGGGTCAGGAGGTAAAATTCGAGAACGAATTTAGTGTCAGGATTGGCCGTGTGAGACTTTCGCTGAATCGCTACGCTACGCCAATGAAAATGCTTTGTTTACTTCTGGTGACCGTGAATATTCCGATGTGCTGCGATGTGTTTTTGTGGGCAAGGTGGTTAGTCATAGTCAGTCTTGTAACAGATGCTGGAGTGAATACATGTGATACAAGTTATGAAGTGTTTGATTTTCCCTAGGAAAATGATAATTTTCTCACATACATACATATATAACAAGCAGACAAAAAGTATCAAGACTACTTCTTCACAGAGACTGCTGATGTGAGACATTAGTAATGTCCGTCAAATTGTGAAACGGTTATAAAGCACATCTTCGTAACCTGTACGGACTACAGCTTCTGAAAGACCATTTCACTCCTATAAAAAAAATACAAACATTTTTGTAATCAAAGATTTTTTAATAATCCAGTAGTTATTCAGATGTACCAATGTTTTCAATTTTTATCATATTATCTCGTACACACATTACGACATCGACCAAATTTGAGACTCACTGTATCCCGTGTCCAGTGGAAAGATTTTAATTTTCTAAAGCTCATCCTAGTCATTTTCTGTAAGTCAAACATATTGTGTGACGTTCTTTAAATAATGCGATAATTATTGAAGTAAGCTGAGGATTTTTATTTTTATCATTTATCGTAATATGCTTCATTTTTAGTAGAGCTGAATCCAATCACGAACAGTTAAAAATGCTGCATTCATACAAAAGGCACTACTACAAAATCTTCAAAGATATAAAACGCTGATTATATAAGATTGGGCATAGAATGGTTCACTGACCACTGATATCTGCTTCGAAGCAAAGCGCATCACTTTTATTTCTTCAAAAAATCTTTGATCTTTTTGGAAACCTATTTTGTAGCATACTGAGCTTTCAAGAAAATCAAATATTCTTTGAGGATAAAAATGATAAGAAAGAAGTAATGACTCGCTCGTATCAACTATAAAAGTGGAATATATTTGAACGATTTCAGATCAACAGCAAATTCAAGCTATCAAGATTACAAATTTTAATCTCTTCTCATTCTTCTGCCGTGAACGAGGTCATCATGGAGGGTGTGCTATCTACTGTCAGCAGGATATATACTTCAAGGAAGAGCGAAAGTGCGTGAAGATCTCAACAATATTTCGCAGTGCGGTGTGTTTGAATGTGCAGCCCTTGAAATAACCTTGAAAGAGCTCGTCTCAGTCGTCGTTTCTATATATCGTCTATGTATATGATTAGTAATTAAAAAAAGAAATGTGTCATAGCCGGCGATTTTAATATAAATCTGTTGGTGACAAATAGGAAATCATCAGATTTTATTGACATAATTCATTCCTACGGTTAAGATTATTGATACACTTTTTTCTGACCATAAAGAGCAACATACTCTCTTTTCACTCAATACCAATATCGATCTTGAATCCAAATTGATTAGAGTGTTTTCTACCTCACATATAAATAGTTTTCTACAAGATCTAAAATCAGCATCTTGGAACGAAATTTATAGTAGTGTCAACGTAAACAAAAAGTGGGACATATTTTCTCAGATAATACAAAGCAGTTTCAATCACTATTTTCCTCTGAGGATAAAAAAGCGAGCTGCGGGAGGTAAGAAACCTCCTTGGATTACCTCAGAATTGGATCGACTCAGGAACAGGGTGAGTGCTCGTCAAATGATTTCCCAAAACGATATAAAATATAAAAATGTTTTTAAAAGTTATAATCAGACATATGAGAAACTCTTAAAAGATTCAAAATCGCAATACTATTTAAACAAAGTAAATAATCATGGCAATAGAAGTGAAGGAATTTGGAATACAGTACGAGAATTAACTACCACACCCAAAACGTCGTCAGATCAGTTTGTTTTACCGGTACATAATGATGTAAATGCTTTAGCAAACCATTTTAATAAAAGCTTTGTCGAAGCTGCTCCAAAACTCCTCTCAAAACTACCAAATTTAAATTATGACTGCAACCTATAACTAAAAAATAAAACAATATTGTATGCAACCTAAAAAACATAAAAAGTTGTGGTGATGACAACGTCCCAATTTTCATCATTAAAAAAATGATAACCATAATATCTGACCCTCTTCTTAATATCCTAAATACATCTCTTAGTGAAGGAGAATTTCCAGAAGCATTAAAAATTGCACTAGTATTACCAATCTATAAAAAAGGCGATCCTGATGATATGATGAACAACTACCGTGCTATTAGCTTACTGATAAATTTTTCAAAAATCTTTGAAATTGCTTATAACAACCGTCTTATTAATTTTTTCCACTCAAATAAATACTTCACCAATAACCAACATGGCTTCATGAAAGGTAGAGTTGTGAACACGGCACTGTTCGATTTCACCACAGCAATCCATGAATATCGAGAGAATCAAGGAGCAGCATGTGGTTTATTTGTGGACCTGTCAAAAGCATTTGACTCTATTGATCACGAAATATTGCTAAACAAATTATATAAATATGGTATATGCAGGAATGCGTACTACTGGCTTAAATATTATCTTTGCAATAGAAGACAGAAAGTAATTTTGAACAAAACCGGGAAACGAATAACATCTAGTCCTCGGACATATAGTACTGGTGTTCCTCAAGGCAGTACACTGTGCCCAACATTGTTTATTATTTATATTAATGATATATCCACCACCTACGTTAAATATGGTGGTAAAACGACCACGATTTCAATTTCGTGAACTGATATAATATATATCTATAGGTACCTAATAATACCCAGCGTTCAAACTGCGGGTAAATATAAATGCACACGTGATCTTGATGGTGGCTCCCACAAAAAAATCAAATCCGTATCTCACTTCAGAGTGTCAATCAATACGTTGATCTTAATAACTAATCTCGTCATCTTGAGTGGAATACATCCTCTCTGTTTGTGATCCATCTTCAGTGAGCGTGTTCCCAAGCTTAGGCTTTAACCAAATATGAGTATTTACAGCCGTATCTCACTTCAGAATGACAATCAAGTGCTGAATAATGTATAAAACACATTGATTTTAATTACTAATCTCATCATCTTGAGTGGCTGACGTCCTCTCTGGTTGTAAGATATCGCTCGCAATTTCTTTCTCCCACAACGCCAACGAGCGTTTTCCCAAAGTAGAGATTTAACTCCAACAAAGTTTATGTTATTCACATTTACAAGCTCCCGCGGTTCACTAAGAAGTATTTTTTTCCGCATGTCCTCCTTACTCTGCACAGTCTGCGAAAATCAAAGGCTAGTCCCTTGTTAGCCTACAGTTAGAATATAAATTGATTCAAAATCAACTGAGTCTAACATTCTTTCCTGGATCGAGTCAGATAAGGCAACATCAGAATATTCAAGACAGAGATGTGCGTGATCCTGAAATTATTTTCTCAAATGCAGTATGAACCAGGTAGTTCGTCTTTTTGCTCCAGATAGAGCTTTTTTATCATCGTTATTTTCAATGTTCTTCCCCTACAAGAATCCGAAAAGTAGTTTGGGCTATTTTTAACCTTGGTTGGTATGGTGTCAAGAGGCCGCACTCCTGGGTGAAATTTGGTAGAAGTGGTTTAAGGACTGATTTTGGCGGATGGACAAGCGTAACGAATGTGATGGAAATTACTTTGAACGAAGTCAATAATCTTTTATAGTACCCTTTGTATTTGATCACATTTACCTACTATTAATTTGTATACGTCTGGTCGTGACAAAGAAAAAATCCATTCTTTTATTTTTTTTTTAACTCATTACCAAATCGTTGATCCTTTATACCGTCTGGTAAATTTATGAATAATTATGTACCTAAATAAAGGTATGATCGTTGCGTTATAGATTTGTTTGGTCTAGGTACAATTGTTCCTCTTAGTTTATGCCTTGTGCGGTGATTATGTTAAATTTTTTGATCGTTATTGATAAATATGTGATGTCGTTATATGTGAGAGACACAGTTGTTTTAAGTCATATACATGTGTATATGTTTGTCGATAAAGTGTTATGTTCCGGCATTTAAATTTCTTGATTATATTGGTTTGTTCGTACAGCCTGTTTGCTGACAATCAGCAAACTGACAGTCGTGGACAAGTCATCACCTAGTTTACGCAGTTAGCTGTCACTGACACGTCGCTGACTGTATTAATTGCGTACATTAGAACGTTACGAGTTAGCTGTGGTGAATGCAGGCAGAATGCAGTAGACAATTTTGAAAAAGTTGAGGGTTCATTTGCTGTAAACCAGAATGTTCTAGGATTTTTCGTCCAATGTGCAAGAATTTTCCTTTAAAGAGGAAAACATGGACACGTACTAGAAAAAATAATAGCACCCAAAAATGTCAAGTAGATTTACTCAGTAATTACCATTCAATTCTCATATATAACGTATAAGCATAAACTCGAAGAACTATGATTCCACAAATCGAATCACAAGTTGAAGAAGTAAATGCATAGTAAGAATTCTGAATAAACGTCTGCAGTGATTATGCATGAGAAATGTACAAAGTCTTGCGAGTGACTTTTAACAAAATTCGGATAGTAGGGTTTTTGTTCCCTGTTCCTTTGTCGCCCAGCCTCGAAGTGTATGCACAAACAGTATTTGTATATTCTAGCTATGTAAGTCCAACCCAAAGCTGATGAAAAAATAAACAAAATAATGAATTCTGGAGATTTTGTGATACAGATTTTTCTCACGGGCAAGGTTGCGTATTCAGATAATCAACAAAATGTCGCTTAGAAAGTTTTGAAATTGAAAGTACTTCGGAAAAGAGACGTAAAAACGAAATTTCTCAAAATGGTTTTAATTTTCTCCTGACTTTGTTTGTGGTGGGATTTCAAAATAAATTGCAATAAATTGCACATTTAATAAATTGCTGCCACATTTTCTCATCTACAAGACGGCATAATTAGAATTTCAATATGACGTTTCGTCTCTTGTCCTCCAACATCATCTTATTTTTTTCCTATAGGTGCCATATTGGATTCTTACACACCTGAATAGAATTTTTATTCTGATTTAAAAAATGTATGTCATACATTGACATTGCAAAACCTTAGTTATTCCAGAAGTTCCTAGGTAGGCCTCGAAATTATTAGATTTCATTTGTTTGCATAGCAACAGAGTTTGAAAGACTGTGAATACCTCTGCTTATTTATGGTTATTATTGTT